TTTGGAAATAAAGAACTGAAATTGAATGACTGGGAGGTTTAGACTGGCACAATATATATGACTATTCTACAGAGTTAAGAAATGGGTGTGTAATGAAAAAATGGGAGAATGAGTGAATTAAAAGTTACGTCTGAAAATTGTTCGAAAGAAAACACCAATTCTCTAAACAAAAAATTATTATTTTCTTTATTAGAAACCTGTACAATTGACCAATTATTATTTTCTTTATTAGAAACCTGTACAATTGACCGAAACGTTGATGATTTAACAGAAATTTTTATGTGCTTGTAAATTAAGATGAATTCGTGTTGTCGTTAATTTAGCGTTTCATTTGTTCATTTTCTTATTCATTCTTTCATTCATCCACTTTATGTTTTCAGTCACTAATGTCACGTGATTTGCGCCTCGTGAAATCGATATGATTATTTCACGGGTTTACGACAACCACTCTCTAGTTCTTATTTAGTGATTATGCGGATACATATAGAAAAGAAAAGTTTTGTATCAGCAAAAATTATGAATAAATAATAATTATTATTATATTAAAATGATTGCCGATTACGTATGCAAGCCCTTGTTTCTCCCGACCCCCGGGGACGACCAGGAGCAGGAAGTGAGCACATTACAGCCGGGGATTTTGAAACGCAGTTTTAATATCATGTCTCGATAGGGGGGAACAGACGTCTAAATCAAAGGAAATGATCTGTTTTAGTCGACTTTTTGGTCTCTAAGAGTTAGAAAATGCCGTGACTTGAAATAGTATTTTCCCGTTTTTCCACGGGAGGCGGGGGTCGGTCTTTCAAGTGACTGATGCTGGGTGGGAGAGGGGGGACTGATGCTGGGTGGGAGAGGGGGGAAGAGGTGTAAACTAGTACCCACCAAACGATGCATGCTTTAAAAATTCGCACACGAGCTGATAAATTTATTACTCTTTTAGGCCTCGACTTTTTAAAGAGTCGACAACAATTCAAGGAAGAAGTAGCGAGTTTATCAGAAGCCTTGATCTCCATCCAAGTGAAAGTGCTCGAATGCTAACGACGGCATGAAGAATCAATGAAAGATCAACAGATTACGCACTTTGAATTATCGATAGAAAATCAAACAGCTCTTCCAAAAAACGTTGTCTACTGCATATTCAATAATAACASTATTTTAAAAGTCAATGTCGAGTAAACATCAATGCTTTTGACGGTGCGCCTGATAATAAAAACGTTGTCGAAAAAAAAAGCTTTATAAACGTCGGGAAAAACGACTGAGATACWAAAAACCTCAACTTTTCGCGAAACATTTTTGCTGTTTAAGTTAAGCGTCGACGTTTCTCGTTTATGGTGGTCTGTTTTTTTGTTGTCCAATAAGTCGTTTTAGTKCTCAGACAGAGTGAAAAACGAAAAACATCGACGCAAAACTTGTGYWGCAACACTGAATGTTGCAACACAAGTTTAGTGGTTGTGTTTYGCATTCCTCGTCCTTTAGATTCAWAAGAAGTGTYGAGCTTGTCTCCGAAATCTCTAAATCTCAGGACAATGTTTTAGCAAATATCTGYAAGTCAAAGTTTTGTACTTAATGTAGGTATTCAAGGGTTTCTGATATTGAAATTTTAGCCAAACTCTATTAAAATTGTGTTGTGCTATATCAGTTCTATTACTATTCAGTAGCGAGCAGAATATGCGTCAATAACCCAAAATAAATATATAAATAAATAGTTAAAATTGCATTTATTTTCCTCAAGTTGTAAAACCATGAAAAACTTAATTTAAAATTTCACTTGTTTTCCTCTAGTTTTACAATGTGTAGAAAAAAATATGAACAAGTAGACCACCTTTTCTCTGGGTGTGGTTGCTTTTATCACATACGAATTTATCAACGTTAAATCTTTATGAATAGGTAATGATTTTAAATAAGGGAGATTGTATATAAGCTAGGAAATAGACTTCTATGCTATGATCGTAAAACGGCTATTACATTAAAGACAAGATCTAATACGAGTGTCTATTAATTCTAAAAGGTGTTTTTACAAGTGCCAGGTGCAAGGACCAACGCTGTGAAGGTTTGATAGGAGAATCAAGAGAACAGAAAAATAAATCACGCAAACGAATCGAAAATGAATCGTTGTCTCTAATGGTGCTCAATTTGTAAAAATTTACAGTTGAAYCTCGTTAATCCGAACACCCAAGGGACCATATAAAATTGACCGTTATAACCGAGTAGAAAAGTAAGGGAGTTTCATTCTTCCGGACGGAAAAAAAATGGTCGCTATAAGGGAGTGACCGTATTATGCAGGACTCCAGTGTGAAAATTTACTGGCGTTTCAAAGATCAGCTCTTTAACTTCGAAGAAGGAATAACGTTTGAAAAGTCAGTAATTTTTCTATTTTTTTACGACTGGTGTCTCATTCATCATTTTATCCGAGCTGTTGTTTGAAAGTAATCCTTTTTAAGGGACACTGGGGGGTCAATCATGAAAATACCTTATCAACAAAAATGCTTTGAAAACACTCAATAAAAAACTCCTTCAAGGAGGCAATCTATCTGATTATTTAGAAGAAGGGTCGATTTTTTTTCAATTTGAAATAAAAAGGGAAAAAGTCTAAGTGATTGTGATCATGCTGAGACTAGATCCCAGACCACCTGGTTTGCGTTAGACTGACGTGAGTCCTTTTAGACTTGTCGCAAGTGGTCGTCTCTTCTTTCATATTAATCTTTCTTCTTCTTTTTTTTTCGTTTTTTCCTCTTTCTTATCTTTTTTTCTTAATCTTTCTTCTTTTCTTTTCWTTTTTTTTCAGTTTTTCCTTATCTTTTTTTTAAGTCTAATGTCTAATATAAAGACTTTGCAGTTAAAACTGCCATTGTATGATCATCAAACATAGCTACAGGGTGAACAATACGCACTCGGCAGACGATCACAAATGGCCAAGAGCAAATGATTGTTACGATGAGTCTAAAGACTATACTCATTGAAAGCGTGAGGGAAATGACTTCGATGTTTCCTTTTATAATCACTACTATAGAATAAATGAACTCTTTGTAGTCTGTACTTGTAGGGCAAATATTGAGGAKGTCACTGATTCCTTAATGGCCAAAAACAGGCAAAGATGCCGAAAAAGTGAAGGTAAAATTTAAATGAAAGAAAATCACTTCGCAATTCAAAGCGTGTTTTCTTATTTTGTAAAATTACAACTATAATCATCAAAGAAATCTTTTTTTTTTCTTTTCAGGGCGAATATCAARGATACCAATACCTAAGGAAAATGAACTAGATTTCTAGCGGCTAAAATATTGACGAAAAATATGATTGCAAATTCAAATGTGTTTAGAAATGTTCTCGTCAATTAAGACATTTATTCCTTCCAGTGATAATTAAATCAAACCTTTGTAAATACAGACTCGAATATTGAGGATTGGGAAATCTTTAAGGCTTTAGTCTCTACTCAACGCTTTAATGGTAAAAGTAGAGCCAGCCGATTAACCAGATTCTTAGCACTTAAAATTGCACTCAATATCCTCATACATATGATCAGGAAAAAAAAAACTTCAATAAGAAACAGTTTCATTTTGCTAACTGTATAATAGTTAACAGTTGAGGCTCCATTTTGATATCATCATTTTCCTAAACCAAACTTTTTTATTTTTACCTCACCTGCTGGCCCTGAAAGAAGGCACAGGCAGCCCATTTCAACAATGATTCAGAAACATGAACTCGATAAAAATTCATTCTTTTTTTAAGGGGGGGAGGGGGTATTCTATTTGATGCTCAAGGGGGGTTCCGTAGAATCTATGGAATCCCCTCTGATTCATTTTAAAGCTACACAATCAAGAGCAAATGTTCATGTCTGAAGAGAAATCACATAAGACGGAAATACCCTCACAAGGCGCAGAAAGGCACAGGCAGCCCATATAGACTTTGATTCAGTAACATGAACTCGATAAAAATTCATTGTATGACGCGTTTTGATTTTACTATGATTGCATYTAAAGCTCGACGAGGGTTCTGAGGAACCAATGGAGCCCTCTTTGCTTCATTTTAAAGGTACAGAGTCAAGAGAAAATGCTCATGTCGAAAACACCCTCACAAGGCGCAGAAAGGCACAGGCAACCCACGCCTTGCAGATACCACCGACCAATAACTAATAGAGTAGACTTAAAAGCTAAAACGCACTAAAGTAAATGAGAAAAATGATTTCGCCGTTGAAAGGTTCCATTWACAAACTCATAATTATTAAATAAAAACTTTTTGATAGCCAACACAAGGGCGAATATTGAGCATGAATGGAACAGATATATCTACRCTCGTGTTTCTAAGCTTGTTTCTCTCGTGTTTTTCAACTCCACAGTGTTTATATCAGAGGACAAGACACGCGCGCCGTTTTATATTTCTTAAATATAGTATTRAGAAATTTCTAACATAAACACACAAAGGACTCTATTACAGAGAGATGTATTACATTCTGAAATTTTTTCAATTAAACAAGAGTTTTAATCTGATAAACGGATAAGTAAGCTTTTAGTGCTATTCCTATCGTAACAACAGTCAAATATAACTGAAACCGATCCGATGTTTTCTGAGTGATTATATTATTACTTAGTGAACATTATGGGTTGTTWTTCTATGTCACTTCGTCTTTTTAAAGCTACTGCACCGAGAAATTTGTGATCCAGGGAGCTAACACTGGAAAAAATCGCGTGCTTTAAAGGTTGTAAATTTGATGTATATATGATGTAAGTGTCCAAAATGATGTAAATTTGATGTAAATCATTTCCATCAGATTTACATCATTTTGGACACTTACATCATATTTACATCAAATTTACAACCTTTATGGCGCGCGATTTTTTCCAGTGTAATGGTATCAAGGTTGGGGATCTCTAGGTCTAGAGTTACACACAACACCTGACTGAATCTGTACAATATATTTCGCATAATCAAAAGCTATTTCGTGTAAAGAAACTATTCCAGAATGTTCTCCCATGACGAAAAAAGTATTTCCATCGTAAATAATTTTCTTAGAGAAAGGCCGGCGATGAGCGCATGGAACGCCTAGCAACGCCAAGGAATGCCTGGCGACATAAAGGAATGCTTAAGGAACGTTTGGTATGCATGTTGTGCAGTTTAACGTCCATTTAGTTCTGAAAACTTCCTGGCAATCATATAGCAGAAAATACCACGAAATGTATATAAAGCTATCCAAATAAAGCGTTCTGATTGGTCACTAAATCCCAGCGGCTAACGTTGATTTAATAAACAATGACTAGCCTCTTTAGAAGAATAAAAAAAATTCTTACCGGTGGCCCCTCTGATCCTTTTTCGCCTTTGTCGCCCTGAAATATATACAATCAAAAACCAATTCATATATATTATGCTTTATTTAACCATCAGACATTAAGATACATATAGGCCTAAASACTGTGAAAAAGCATTGGGCAGCGACGCCATTTTGTTTAGTACAAAGCATGATGGGAGTTGTAGTCCTCGCTATTTTCATATCCGCTAAAAAAGTCCTAAGCAGTATTTCTTTGCACAAATAGAAGAAGTTGTGCCGTTTTTCTAAAAAAAAATAAACAAGAACAGCTTTGAGGGAGCTTTCTAGGGCCTACCAAAAGTGCGAGGACTACAGTTCCCATCATACTTTGTAGTACAAATCAAATTCCCTTTCGCAATTCCTTTTGAGCGTCATCTTTATCCCGTCGATGCCAGCCTCAYTAGCCATTAATATTAGACAACTCGGGTCGCAAACGAAGAAGTTTCACTCACTTTCGGTCCAGGTAATCCCCGACGCATTTCCTTGTGCTGCATATTGTGCTGCAATGACATATAAGATATATAATAAAGATTTGTTTGCACTTCAGAGAACTGGCAGTAAGTATTCAAATAAATTTTCATTGAACTTACTATTAACATTTCTATCCCTCCATTTGACGTCAAACGTTTTCTTAAAGTTAAGACTTCCTGAAATTTTAGCGCAAAAGAAAACATTTAGTGATTTCGCTTTCTGCGTTTATGTTTTGTGTTGTGTCGTGTTGCGTTGCGTTGCGTTGCGTTGCGTTGCGTGCGTTGTGTTGTGTTGCTTTGGGTTGTGTTGCGTTGCGTTCCGTTGCGTTGTATTGTGCTTTGCGCTACGTTGTGTTGTGTTGTGTTGCGATGTGCTTTGCGCTGCGTTGCGTTGTGTTGCTTTGCGCTGTGTTGTGTTGCTTTGCGTTCTGTTGTGTTGCGTTCCGTTGCATTGCGTGGCTTTAAGTTGCGTTGTGTTGTGGTGCGTTGTGCGTTGCGTTGCTTTACGTTGCGTTGTATTGCGTTATGTCGTCCTGTGTTGTACGTGTCTTTGTGAAACTGAATTACTGCACGGTTTCGACCTGTTGCAAGGAAGACAAGCGTACCTGGAAAAAACTCCCTCAGAGGCGGGAATAAAACCAATTAGACAGGTTAACTAACTAAAGCCCGCCACCCCTACACATCCCTTATTTGCCCCTTGTTATTAAAACAAACCTTCTCAAGTCGAAGAAACCTTTCTTCCATATCTTTCCATTTCTTACTACACGCCAAGCAGACTATCAAAACATAAACATCAAGTCTTGTCAGTTGTAATGAAGATTGGACTCATTAGTCGACGGGACTCCTGTGTTGAGGAATAGCTACCAAAGAGGGTGAGACGAAGCACACACGATGTTTTCATACCTTCGCAACTCTTTCCTTTACTGATATATCCGTCTTTGCAAATGCATTTGTAGCTTCCATATGTGTTGATGCAAATATGTGAGCACCCACCATTTTTAATTGCACATTCATTAACATCTGAAAACATCAGACAGTTATCAGTTTGAGATAAAATGTACAATGTTCCACGACAACGATAAAGATCCTTTCGATTTGTGACGTCATGACTTTTGACGAAGTGCATCATGGTAACATAACATAATAGAGGGGGGCTAACTATCCCTGCAAAGAGAACTTTTTTGAGCATGCACATACATCCATACCCTACCAATATTACACTGGCTACTTTCTTTGTGTAATTTCCAGCCAGGACAGCAAGTAAAGTACGTCTTCAAATGGAGTTTACTAACTTTAACTTTACRAAAGCTGGTCTTGTACATGGTCCTAGAATAATCAAACACAGCTATGATTAATACTAAAAACTTTCAATACAATTATATTTCATTGATTACACAAGAATCTATAGAGATAAAACAATGTAATAACAATGTAAAACAATGTAATAGAAATGTAACATAATGTAATTTTGGTATAAATATAAAAACGGATGAATAAATGAAAACATGAATGGGATGAATAATTAATAAATGAATACACATAAATCAATGAGTAAACGTTTTTAATAGCCAGAGACATTGCCGCACGAATCAGTTTCTCTATCACGCTGTGCGTCAATCTTGCTGACATCGACTTATTCCGGTAATTACTCAAGAGGGGCAAGCATTAATAACAAACACTTGCATCACCGTGGGAAAATAACTTGTTGGAGCGGTATTTGTCTTTTCGCGAGAATATGTTGCTACTAGCTGTAGCCGATGCAAGCTTTACGTGCAAGTAAAACGACCAATACAGATTACAAGTGTGTGATTATTGTTAGGTTTAATGACTTCTGCAGCAATTGATACTAATATTTCTTATGTTATCTTTGATGATAATATAAAAGAGTCCTTTACGGCTAATTTTAGAACTGCAAGTAGCAAGGAATGTACATAACGATTCAGAAAAGCGACTGACTAGCACTGGATTTGTGATCTCAACCACAAAAATCTACTAAGACCCTTAAGGAAAAGTGATGAAGTCATTAGATTACCGCCCGGCGTATTTGGATGGTAATCATGTCAATAAGGTACTAAAATGTAAGGACATCACGCAAGATATGTCAAAACCAACACAGCGCAGCCTCTTAAAACGTAAGGACATCACGGAAGAGCCTCTAAAAACGTAAGGACATCACGCAAGATGAGTCAAAACAAACACAGCGAAGCCTCTTAAAACGTAAGGCATCACGCAAGATATGTCAAAACCAAAACAGCGGACCNTACGTCTTTTCACGCATACATTTACCCTGAAATACATATAAAAAAAACTTAGCTGCTTATCGCATTTCCAAAACTAGTGAAAACGATTCATTTAATTCACTTACCCAGGCCCTTGCAAGGTGTCCCCTTTGGTTGAAAACCCCATGATGCTCAAAAAGACGAAAAACAACGAGATCGTTGTGGCCTTCTTGAAATCCATTCTAAGAATTACTACAAATTCTACGGGCAAAGTTTTTCCAGTCCACGAAATGAAGACCGGAATGATAAAAAGATTGACTCGTGGGGCTCCGAAGACAGAAGGAGATCCCGTGTAAGACGTAACGACGTAAACATTTGCGTGAGAGCTTAACTGCAGAAATGTGTTTCCGGCAGTCAGTGACCGGAAGTAAAGAAGAATAAACAACCCACCCAATTTTTAAAAACTTGCCGACCAACTGCCTGTCTTATCTGAGGTTTCGGACAGCAATTTCGTCTTCCGCGGCCGCAGTGACACASGAAACCCAGATAAAACAATCAGTTGCGTTTTATGGTTACACGCAGAAAATTTTTGAAATCCTTCTTTACCAAAAATAACCTTCCGCTCCCAGATTATTTAGAACTCATTCCAATTGTACTTTGCTAATCAATGAGTATAAATATTAATAAAATTCAAATGCAAGCATTATGTAAAATATAATATGTGGTTAATTATTAATAAATTCACATATATAAACAGAACTAAAAGTGCATTTTCAATTCTATTAATACCATAGCTTTAGATCCGACAATCAATGCTTTGCTTTTATATGGTTTCACAATATAAAAAACTTAGTACATAAGTGCCATTTTTACACTGCGACAAAAAAACTTTAAAGGTCGAGGACAAAAGGAAGACAATGCAAAGCCAATCGGAAACGATAATCAAGCGCGCGGCGGCACAAAACATTAACACAAGCATGTATAAATTAGGATAATCCTATAAACCCCYAAGGAAATTTTGATAAAGACAAAAAGATTACACAAACAAAAACACCGTCATTTTGTCTTCTTCGTCCATGTTTAAAACCCCCATGTACGTTCAAATCGATGCAGTCTTCACGCGCGCCGGCAGTCTCGCTGTTCGAGCCGTAAGACAAATAAAGATAGTGAATTAGGCCTGAGCTAGAATTAAATCTTACCTACGAATTAGCTAGCTTTCTTCGTTCCTTCATACATTATTCGCCCATTGAACAGTTGAGATGTCAATACCACCGTTGAAAATCCAAGAAGAACGATTCCATGTAGCAGTTGTTTATGAGTCTTGGACTTAAACACATGTTTCCCAGTCAAGATCAGTCAAGATCAAATATTTCTTTAAGAAATTATTCTTGTCGATGAAGGTAATAGAAGAAAAGCGAGCTTTTCTTTCCATATTTTGTCTTGTTTTGTTTCTCACGTGGAATTCTTTACATTTGTATTTACCCGCGCGGCCTCTCATCCGGGATACCCAACATGACGTCACGTTAAAAACAAAATATTTTTTTGCTGCGAAATATTTAAAATCGAGAAAAAAAAGTTATTAATCATGAGACTTTTATGAAATAGCATGAAAGCACAGCTGTTTAGAACTATTTTTGAGGCAATACAAGATGATCTTGAATTTTTTAAAGATTTCTGACGTCATAGCATCCGGGATATTGAAGTAGCGGCTACAAGAGGGTGGTCTTTCATATTGCAAGTTCGCCATTAGACTTGGGAGCTTTTCCAACAAGAAAGAAGTAACCCCCCTCTAAAAACAACCAAATCAGTCYCACTTCCGTTTAAAAATCTMCTCCAAACTCACTTCCTGTTGRAGAAACAAATAATTTCATGGAAATACCATGGATTTAGGAGTAACAAGCGAGCTACGGGACCAAGATTTGGAAGGAGATGGCTCTACGTCGTCTGTCCTCGCTCATGTCCTTGATGTAAGCACTAATGCTTCGACTGTTGTGAATTCTACGTGTTATACTAGTGGTCTAGCTGTACTAGCTCCAACTTTAGACGGCCATGCGACTGTTACGTCTTTAGCGGGYTTYACTCTSAACACTTTTGATGCAGTCGATGTCAAACAGCATGGCCAAGATCACCATGATTTAGCAGTTGCTACTGTAGGCGTAGATGGAAGGTGAGCTACAATAGTTTCCATGCCGGAAGTAAATAAAAAATATGTTTTAACACAAAAAAATCAATGAGTTATCCTATGTTTTGAAAATATTTTAGCGGCTTTTATTCATATTTCAGAACTGTTGATTTTGCAAACAATTGTGCTAAAATACAACGAATTGTTAGTCAACTGAGGAGATTTTATAACTAAACGAAATTAGTTTTGACAGATAAATGGCTTGTTTTGATGAAGTTTCTATGCTAAAATAACAATTGTTTTTGAATAAATCTTGGAAGCTAGATTTTCCTATTCAAAGAACATGCTTGAGCTATGTTATGATATATGTTATTGAAAACAATCCCATAGGTTTTAATGTTTCATTCYCTTTATGCTAATGTTTATGTTGCTATGCTTATGTTTACGTCTAGTGAAAACCAACCAGAAGGGTTATAACATGTACAAGTATTTTTTAAAAACAAAATCATATCCTTTGTTTGAAATACAATGAAGTTAAAGCTAGTATCCAAACTTGTCATTCTCTTTTTTGTTATTGAAAGGTTGCGATTCACACCTGCCAGTCACTCAACACCAACAGAGTTTCATCACACAGCTCAAGAACGACAGAATCTGCCAACATCTGAATCTGACTTTGTTTCAGATCTTTCTCAAGGTATGCARATGTACCAACACAGCTCTAATTTTGTGATTAATATAATGAATAATTATTGCTCTTGAAAGGAGATTCGCACTGGTAATGTKTACCATGTGTTAACTAACTAGTATTAAATTCTGTGCATCTTAATTAATGAGCATCTTTAGAAGAGCTTTTAAAACAGTATTAAACTTGTGTGAGCTACATGTACAATGTATGTCGGCTTCTGTTAATGAAACAGTTTGAAAAAATTATGAATAAATACCAGAAAAAGATATAGAACTTGGTATTTCAGATGACATTGGTCCTTCATGAGAGTAAAAGAGAGCATCTTTTGTTTTGGAGTGTTCACTATMTATTGTAACATAAATATATTCTTTTCATAGTGGAAATACTAAGTGGAGGTGATGGCGATGATAGGTTCGTCAGCAGTGATGATCTTCTCCATGATAGGCAAGCAGCTGTGCAAGTAGCAATTCCAGACAAAACACCTGTGAGTAAATAGCCGATTTGCGAATTTCGCTCCATTTGTCAAATACAAAAGACTCAAGACGAGGCCCTGTGCATAAAGTTCAGTCAAACATGAAAAACTATTGTCTTTTCATGAATGACTGAGCTTTATGCACGGTGCCTCATCTTGGTTCCTTTGTGTGTAACTACCCAGGCAATATTGATGAGCACAAACTTGCACTCTAACTGATGTACATAACTTTGCAAGCTCATATTCTGTTAGTAGAGAATTTATATAGAGAGATTTACATTCAGAGATTTTGGTGAAAAAGGAAATTCCCAATTGACCTCAAAGGCATTGGTTGTGTAGACACTGTATTATAAAACAATTTTTTTTATTCACCTCTTTGTGTATGGCTAATAGCTGGCGCCATTCTCTATGATAATGAGTGACATGGTTGCCCAAGCACACGCCTCTGACTGCTGTGGTCCAGGTTCTTGTCCAGGCAGGGGGTGCGCCATGTTCTAAAATGATATGTGAMTAGCCGATTTGKGAATTTYGCYCCATTTGTCAAACACAAAAGAATCRAGACGAGGMGYCGTGCTAAAAGCTCAGTCAATCATAAAAACTATTGTCTTTCCACGAATGACTGAGCTTTTTTATTTTATGTTTTCTGAATATTTTATTACAGAAAAAGAAAGGAGGATGGCCTAAGGGTAAAAAGCGGAGGAAAACACTAAGAGATGTAAACGCACCTAGAGCTCCCTTGACAGCTTATGTACAGTTCTTAAATATCAAYAGAGAGAAAGTACGATCTGAAAACCCAGAGTTACCCTTCCCTGACGTAACAAAGCTGCTTGGTGCTCAATGGAGCAAAATGACTCAAGACCAGAAACAGGTGTGTATTATTTACTCTACAATGCTCATAACTTGATTTAGACTCGTGCTCAGTCGTTCGGCTTGAAAAGGCCTTTCTTTGCTCAAACTATTTTTGGCAGCACAACTGTCTGCCATCTTGGATTTGTTTTCTGCCAGTCGTTACTTTTTCTCCTGATTTCCATTGATTCTTCGTGCATGCCAGAGAAAAATGGAGAGTAACRACTGGGTATGAGTCTGAACTTGATTAAAGTACCTATGACGCCTGACACAATAATTTCAGATTCTCTGTATACTGATTCTATATAAAGGATAATCAAATGGCCAAATATTCCTTCATTTCAGTGCAGGAGATTTGAGTTATGAAGGTTAAAACTTACAATATGCTAGCAATAATGATGTCAATGGAGCCTTCCTTAKACAGTTTTTTTGCTTTACATAGAATCAGCCCACATAGAATCAGAAAATATTGTGTCATGCACCATAGGTACCTTAAGAAAGCAAAACGTTTTGGGCCCAGCATTTTGCCATTTAAATTGCTCTTTCCATTTGGGGATACCATTTCGTCATACCTGGTAGCTGTTGTCAGGGCATTATAGTAGTTTTGTTTTGGTGAAATATCTTGCAGAGTGAATGATTATTTTCAGAAATACCTTGATGAGGCAGAAAGAGACAAAGAAAGATATGTTGCAGAACTAGAACGATATCAGCAAACTGATACGTATAAAGCTTTTCTAAAGAAACAAGAAGAAAGAAAAAGAAAATGTAAGCACCGAATGTAATGTTTATCATTATGAACATATTACTGCCTTTCAAAGTGGTGTTTGGAAGAACTGTAATGTGTTTTCCGTAAACATGACTGTTGATTTCTTTGCTTTGAAGGTACTGAGGCTACTGAAGGTTACTCTAATGGAATTGAGGTACATTCATTATTGCTTTAGCCATTGCACATGCTCACATGGGTATCTTTTGTGATTACTTCATCTCCCACATGGGTCATGACTAATTATCCAAACTTGATTTTTACAGTTTGAATGTAGTCTAAAACTGCTATTTTTTCTCTTAATAAAGCTATGCGAAGAAGACGACTTGTATTGCAAGCCATGTAATCAGTATTTCAATAACTTACATAACAAGAAAGAGCATATATACGGGCGAAAACACCTTCAGACGGTTAATGGTAAAACTGGCGAAGGCAACGAAGAAGATGATCTTCCTTCGTTTAATATTCCAATATTTACTGAAGAATTCCTTGATCACAATAAAGGTAAGATGGAGATGGAATGATATAGAACTGCAAACACGTTTCGATCATCAACTATAAACTTTAATTTTATGATAACGGCGGTTTTTTTTATACTGATAGCGATTGCATAACTTATTTTTTCTGGTGTGAATGCACACAAAACTTGTTTAAAAATGGTTTCTTCTGTGGCTACCGCAACCTTGATCATTGAAGGACAAAAGCAAATCAATCAATTGTGTTTCCATTTATACATAAATTTGTTAAATTCTGTTTTCCCTATCATTCAATCTCATTCATTCATTTCCATTCTATTCCTTTCAGTCAAGGAAAACGAGCTTCGGCAGCTGCGAAAAACAGCAACAGAATACGAAGATCAAAACTCCATCCTGTCAAAGCACATTGAAGAGATGAAACAAGGCTTGGAAAAGATCCAAGTMGAATCTAATACACAACGYACAACCAATGAATTGTTACAACAGCACTTGTACTCGCTACGGACGGTTTTAACGCTTGGATTTCAAGACTTGCGGTTGCCCAGTACGGGTGAACTACCGTCAGACGATTGTATTGACAATTATATGACTAAGCTGTATTCTCTTATCTTGGACTCTCCGCAAGAAAATGAGGGATTGATTGGAAATGTGAGGGAAATTGTTTCTCGATTATGTTTTCAAAAGTAAGTAAGTATGTATATAAATCGATATACTGCATTATAGATAGCTCTATATTACGCATATGGGACAACTATGTATTACGGACACCTCTATATTACGGACACCTATGTGTTACCAGAGTATACGTACCTCTATATTACGGACACCTCTATATTACGGACAACTATGTATTACGGACACCTATATTACGGACACCTCTATATTACGGACACCTCTATATTACGAGCACCTATGTGTTACCAGTATGCGTACCTCTATATTACGGCTATTTTACAAGCACCTCTATATATCGACCAAATCTATATTACGATCGCCGCTGTGCATCGAACGCTAAACTCTGCATTGCCAGCACCCCTATATATCGAGCAACTCTATATTACGAGCACCTCTGTTAATCGAACAACTCTTCACTAAACCACCTCTTTGTATCCAGCTATTTATAGAGCGGGTTTCGTATGAGTGGGAAACGGACGGTACTGTACTGTGACCATAATCGTACTGTAACCAAATTCTAGTGCCCCATTGTTTCACCAAAATTCTGCAGGCCAGGTGCGGTAACTGTGCGGTAACCGTGCGGTAACGGTGTCCCACTCATACGAAATCCGCTCTATTAAAATATGTATATTACGAAAAACCTGTGTATATCGAACAACTCTGTCAGCGGACACTTTCAGATTAGTGAAGACTTAGTGCTAACATGAGATATTGTTTTGTTTCAGTGATGATAAGATTCTAACACCAACGTAGAAAAATACCACGGATGTATGATTGAATCATAAGATTTGATACAGATTTACTACAAGGAGTTAAGCATAAGCTTAATTAACCTCCAGTCTTCATCACTTTGGCGTTAGCACAGGAAGCCCACTATTTGCATGTAGTAGAGCCTTCAGGAGATGGTGGGCTGTGGGTTGCTAAAGCAATGTTACGATGACGCCTCGGCTAAAAGCACTTCATMTATTTATAGTGTATAAGACAATTTCGCGCCATTTTGCCATTAGGCATCCTGTCTGGAACTCCAACTCCAAATGTCGTGGAAATACATGTAAAAATTGCCTATGATAGAGTGCAAACAACGTACCTATGAAAGAGATGCGAATTCCCTTGTTTTCCATTGTCTATTTTACACTATTTATCGCTATTGAGCACTGTTTGGTTCGTACTTTTTCACGCTTTAAAGTGAAAACACTTAAAGCATGAAATAGAGTGATCGCACTTAAACCGTGAAACTGTGTACAAACTAAATAGTGCTATTTAATTGTATTTAGTAAATCGTGCACGCGGTACGCAAATTAAATTGAATTGATACAAATGAAGCATTTGATACCGTCTTGCTTGTGGTCCACTTTTATTACAAATTAGAACTACTTAAATTTTGTACAGTTGCACGGTCTAAGTGCGATCACTCTACRCAACCCAAAAAGTGCTATACAGCGCTATGTAGTGTAACTTAAACAACAACAACAAAAGAAAAGCGAGTTAATTGACATAATTTAGTAGTATTTCACAGGTATATTGTTTACGCTCGGTAACAGTAACAGAAGAAATTAAAATGTGGTCACAAAACGATAAATAAATAAATATTATATTGATGAAATGCGCGTGCATTCTTTATATGGTATACCATCAAATACCAATTGTGWATATTTATATGAATGAATCTCAAAATGACCGTGTGATCAGTAAAGAGTAGATAGTAACTTGTCARCACTTCGATGCTACGTAAGTACATACGACGTTTTTAAAATGAAAATGATTATAGTATATTCACTAAGCCCATGAAACGGTTTCCTTACAAATATGCGCAAATTTATACTAGAGTCCTTTGCCTTCTATTAGCACAATTTAGTACAAGAGACTCGCAATTCGATCTTTTAGCCTTAACGTAAGTACATACGACAGTGTCTAGTTAACATTGTGGCTGGAATGACTATTTCGGTTTACTTGTCCAATATCTTCATTCGGTTATTCATTCCACAATTGCAGCAACATCCAATAAAGGTAGCCATAACGTACGTGAGAGCGATAGCCAGCCGTTAACAAGTCAAATACATAATTATACCATGGCAAACGTAGCCATTGCGTAAACGTAAGTATATACGAATCGGAAACCGCACACGTGAAGAACAGCAATATATAATAAAACTTTTTGTAATCACCCCAGAATACGTAAGAACATTACGACGTACATCGTAAACGCAAGACAAAAGTTTCTGATCACTAGAAATGAGAAATTATCTTTCACCAACTGTCTACGTAACGTACGTACGTAAGATATCGGACYGTATACGTGAAAAGACTTTATGTGATCCGTAAGTCGTTTAACATGTATCATTGAAAATACTATACTACAATACTATTTTTGGAGGGAATACGCTACACTTTAAATATGTTTCAAACAAAAAGATCTCAGTTTAGCAGCATTTTCTACCACCGGCTACGTAGGTTGTGACAAACCTGTCTAGGAGCAGACTTTCGGCTCGTTAGGACTTTGCGCCGTGCTGCGTAATGCTCGCGTTAAGTTCAGTTTTGTCAGAGGCATGCCGTTCAATGAGTTGTCTAATTGGTACCATTCAGTCGGCAAATTCTCTTGACTTTCACAAGTCGGATCTCAACCCGCGACATCTTGCTGTGAAAATATCAGAAGAAGCATCCGAGTACGCTGAGTGGTTTTTAGCCTCGATCAACCACTGGTACGGCTAGTTAGTGTTTTTAAAACAAGATTTACTATTAGTGAAGTTGTTTTCTTCTCAATACGACCTTRTGTGAACGTGGTGAAGCGTTCAAATCATCGAAAGCCTGCGACACATGGAATGGACATTTCRAGGTTGCCCCAGGCAAATGGCTGAGCAGTAGAAATTTTCGAATAGATTCTAAACTGGACCCAGATGCGCTCATGCTGAGGTTCTAAGGGCTCGAGAAACAAAAAAACAAAAGTCTATTTTTATCTTCAATTTTATAGAAAGCATTAATGCCAAGGCAATTTTACTAATGAAATCGGACGGTTTAGATAGCGTGCAGCGATTGGCTGAAAAGTGAAAAGGCCTGTCAGTTTGGTAAAAATGTTAAATCACAATTCACTCGACATCTTAAAGACCCCTAAATGTTGCAACTTATGGCAATCATTAAGGATACAAACTGGTTGAACAGTGTCCAATACCTCCAACCGGCCTCAAAACTGCGTCCATCCACAGGCGAAGTCAACCAGGTCAAGTCGGCGTGTTCTGATGTCCCTGACTGACTGCGATGCATTGCGATTAACTATTCTACACCCATAGTGCTTTTACCGTTAGTATATAAAGTAGGCATGACTCAGAGGATGTGACTTAATTGTATCAATTAAAGACGAACAGAAGAATATCATTACTACGATTGAAAGCTTTCAGTTGTTAGCGTTCTATCGCGTGGGATATTTTTGCCATTAAGGTAGTTGGCTGTTCCTTAAAAACACCGGAAAACCACTAGAAAAAAAATCGACCTCAAATTCCTAACTATTTAGAAAATAGTATATTTGGAAATGATGTAAGTAGCAAGCAAAAACGTTTTGGTTAGAAAAAGATTAATATTTTTACATATGAACATTTTATGGTTCAGTCAATTTAAAGTTAAAAAGTCAATTGAGAAAAAATGAATAAGTGAATAAATAAATAGATGAAACAACGAATCKCTAAATTACCATTTCACGCTAATTGCTCCAAGTCTGCCCTGTTAAAGTAAAATCTTGAAACCCGTGAAWCAAAACTTGACTATTAAAGTGTGATAATCAAATCAAAACACAAAAAAACAATGCTATTATAGAGCGTACTTAGGTGTATAAATGTGATATCTATTTCACGGGTTTTTGGACTTTACTGTAACAAAGAGACTTGTGGAATTTATGTGGTTTGTATTAAAGTAGATTTCATTAACCTGTGAAACAAAGTGCAATAGTTAAAGTGTCTAATAATATTTCATACACCAAAAAAGACAAGAAAAACGTGACGTGCACAAGAATAGAGTCATTAAACTTGACTATGAAAGTGTGATAGCAAATAGACACAAAGAAAAGCGAGCTAAGGTGCATTAGTGTTGCTTTTTTTTGACTTGATACTAAAGAGTAGTACTAAATCAAAGAGTACTGCACTCAAACATATTTCACGGGTTAATGAAATCTACGTAAATCCGTGAAACAAAGTGTAATAGTTAATGTGAAATAATGAGTCATACACCAAAAAAAATTGAATGAAACGTGCGCAATAAAGAGAAATAAAGTGCAGGGCACGCTAAAGTATATTTCACGGGCGTTTGTATGAGTATTGCGTAAGGACACACTTTTTTTCCTTTTTCTTTAGTGATTAGCTATCCGGCAGGTGCATTTTGCGCACTGATTGCAAACTAAACCATCAAAAGTATCTCTAATCGTACTTATGGGATTAAAAAAACCCTAATTACTACAACAAACATGAATTTGAATGCCATTTTTACTCGCGCATTGGGTAACTACTCTTTAAAGTGCTTTAAATCGCGGCTTAACGAGAAAACAGAAGTTCTGGATGCGTTCTATCGCTAGTTAAGTACTTAGAGGTTGTCTTTATTCGATGGTTATCTGTTTGTAACAGCGCGTGAATTAAAGAATATTTACTAGCTGACCTTCTCACGGAACTGCGCTTTAATTCGCCGCGATAAGAGAAACTATCGATATAAGCCAACTGTTTTTCTCATAAAAATACCGCGCACAAGCCCCCCAGCCGCGTGACCACGCGAGGTAAGACTGGCACAGTATAAAACCCTGTAAGATTTCAAAACTCAGGTAAACTTTGCTAGCATGAAAATAGGTCTTTCTGGAAGTTTGTGTGTTTTTTKGGGGCGCTTTTKCAGCACAACGGAGCAGCATTTACTTAGCTAGCCAACCACATGAGGCTGACATCAGGCCCCATGCACCATCTGGTTTCCTCGTTAAAGGGCTATAAGTATCCAAAACAAACGAATAGTTTTCTTAGTGTTCCCACTTTGATAATTTACGATAATCTCGGTAATGATATCAGAATCGATTATCAAAGAACATTTTGCCCTGGTAGGTAATTATCTAAGCTATAAATCCATGTGGAATTAAGTTTGCTCAGTGCGGGTTTTTTTTTCGAGGGGGATTTTTTTGTGGAAGTTGTACCCCTCTCTCTTATATATGACTGTCCCAACAGGGGATTCCAATCGGCTTTGTTTTAGCTGTTAACACGAGGATTTTATTTCCATTGAGACACATCGTGTGACCATTATCATATATAGGTAGGCTGTATTAATGCCTTGTGTTCAAGTCGAACTCGCCCATCGTCTTACAGGTAGAGGAATGACGACTATTTTAATGATAATAACAACAGTGCTTCAAATAAACACTGTTTTTATACCATCATCTTCTTATCAAACCCAACGTGGAACACAAATGGTATTAGCGGTCATTAAAACAGCATTAGCAAGCTTGATAATGAAATACTAAAGCTGTACGAAAAGTCTGTAGTAAGACAAGTTTTAGTGGATTTAATATTTTGTGTTTCTTGGACATATGCGCGCGCGTTCTTTCCCTCTTCTCTTAAACACATGGGAGAGCGAAATGTTTTTTTTTTCCGTAAGGACTTCATTTACTATATTTTTTTCTAATTTTTTCGCTTAAAATTGCGTAAAAATAAGAGTATAACTCCGCTACATTGTTTTTTTTCGCCCTGTAATTAAACTAACCAGAATTTCTTTAAAACAAAACTTTTTCMAACTTCGTGTTTCATAGCGCGTTTTCTAAACGCTGTGCTATTTTTTCGTCTAAATTTCCGTTTCCGTGGTAGTCGGTTATGAATCAATGTGCTTTCGCTTAAGACATTGGTCAAACGGCATGTGGTCCGCAAATGTAGTCAGTCTAAAACGTCTACATTAAGACTGATATTCCTAAGCTCGCTCCAGTTGGTTGCCGGCCGCGCGTACTACAAGGCTGATTCAGAGGTGAGCACTTTACATGCTTGTTATTATAGTTAACATTGGCAATAATTATACTGAGAACTTTAAAAACATATTTGGGAAAGATGTGTTTCAAAGTCTTAAGAGGTTATATTCTAACAGTTATATCAGAGAACATAATAGCCAAATAATGAAGACTAGTGTCTGTATAAACAAACAATGTTTTAACCGTTATCCKTGAACTTATATAACAATTAAGCTTTTTAAACCTACTTATTTCACAACAAACAAGCACTTGAACCGCTAATACGRTGTAATACTAACACAAGATAAAGTGCTAATAGTCCTGTTTATTTTGGT